GTACTTTGGTTCGACTGCGTTGTCCTTGATATTGGCAGCGAACTTTTTTAATCCTCCATGGAAGCAAACTATGTAGTGCTGACTTCCAAAGCGACTGCTATTTGTCTTTCCGTCTTTGTCTCCACAGCCCATTCACCTGACTTTACTTTTTTCAGCCCAAATGAATTGAGGAACTCTAAATCAATCTGAGCACTCAGGCTGTCTGGACACCCGGCTGCACTCTTTCTCATCTTTTGACCCGTCCGAACCTCACGGAGCTCAACGGTACTGCCTTAACTCATCTGAAATGGGACTTATCCTGTGCCCAGTTCGGTTCACGATATCGGTAGGATGGGCAAGAAGCATAAACGTGAGTTACTGGCTTAAAACGCTGCTGCCCAGACTTGTACTGTGCGGTTCAAAAACTACTGTATCCCAGGCCCAAACACTTATCCGTCGTTATCGATCAGGGGACTCCACCGTCGGCGCGATTCCCATAACCCAGTCGCCAACGCACACGCACCATTTTCCTTCACAAAACGGACATGAAGGTTCCATCCTCAAGGTGTTCTTTCTCAGAATTTTATCAACAATTTGGGTCCTGGACGTCCGTCACCACCAAAAACCCTTCACATGTTACTTACGAGTTCGTTTTTGTCTCAAATTTTCTTTAAGCCACCTCCAGACTACTTGCTGTGCACTCTTTGCATGTTTTAGCAAGTCCGATAAAAAAACTGTTCACACTCAGAGCCAGTGAGAACATCCGTTTTCAATCCAGATCACATCCCCTTGTTAGAAATCCCCTTCATCCCCACTCGGCCAAGGTGTCGCTCATCATCCTGTCTTTGTTGTCTGTGGCTTGAGCTAAAAAGTCAGCTCACTGTCACCCCGCTGTTGCAAAGATCACCGGTTTGGGTTAAAAATATCAACTCTTATATTGTAGGGTACCCTATTTGTTTTCCGTCATTTACCAAAACGCCATACTACCATCAATAAAACTGTATGTTACCGTCCCTAATCTCCACCATGTTTGGCTCAGACCAACTTTTGTACGACCCTGCTTGTGCTGGACTATTAATATTTCTGTATGTATGTCCAAATTCTACGCATTACCAGGCGCCTGCAACTAGTGGACTTTGTGACTTTAGTTGAACTGCACTATCGTGACATGTCTAATGGTATGCTACCTACAATTTGGGAATAGACAATTTTACCAGACTATACCACCGGAGTCTCTCATAAATGTATTGAAAGAACTGCATCGGCCCGTGCGGATGCTTTATTCAAGGCCTGAGTATACTTGTAGTCGGTCTTTTCCTCAATCAAGATAAACCACAGAAATAGCAGTAAACATAGTCTTTTCAGACTCGGCCCCTCCCTAACTAAGAGTTGAGGGATCTTTCTGATCCGTCAGGAAAGACCCATCTATCACACCTTTGTTGCTCATCGCATTCGTTCCGGTTGTAGATTACAACCGTGTACTTTGGTTCGACTGCGTTGTCCTTGATATTGGCAGCGAACTTTTTTAATCCTCCATGGAAGCAAACTATGTAGTGCTGACTTCCAAAGCGACTGCTATTTGTCTTTCCGTCTTTGTCTCCACAGCCCATTCACCTGACTTTACTTTTTTCAGCCCAAATGAATTGAGGAACTCTAAATCAATCTGAGCACTCAGGCTGTCTGGACACCCGGCTGCACTCTTTCTCATCTTTTGACCCGTCCGAACCTCACGGAGCTCAACGGTACTGCCTTAACTCATCTGAAATGGGACTTATCCTGTGCCCAGTTCGGTTCACGATATCGGTAGGATGGGCAAGAAGCATAAACGTGAGTTACTGGCTTAAAACGCTGCTGCCCAGACTTGTACTGTGCGGTTCAAAAACTACTGTATCCCAGGCCCAAACACTTATCCGTCGTTATCGATCAGGGGACTCCACCGTCGGCGCGATTCCCATAACCCAGTCGCCAACGCACACGCACCATTTTCCTTCACAAAACGGACATGAAGGTTCCATCCTCAAGGTGTTCTTTCTCAGAATTTTATCAACAATTTGGGTCCTGGACGTCCGTCACCACCAAAAACCCTTCACATGTTACTTACGAGTTCGTTTTTGTCTCAAATTTTCTTTAAGCCACCTCCAGACTACTTGCACTTTGGTAATTGATCAGGTGGCTGTTGATCTGTTTGCCGAGCTTGGCAATTGATTTGCAAACGTTTCGTCGCCATTCGAGCAGATATCTTCAGTGCGCTGTTGGTTGGGTAGTTCTTCTCCAATACACCTCCTCCACTACACCCGAGCTACCAATATTCCAACACATTACTTGCACTTTCGCAGCCGTTCAGCAATATATTATATTCTGGGTTAAATTTCTCTGTCACCAAGCAAATAATACGTTCTAGTTTATGATCACTCGCTCTTAATGACCTGCATTATCTCCCCTCCCGAGCTACCAATATTCCAACACATTACTTGCACTTTCGCAGCCGTTCAGTGTTCCAATATATTCTGGGTTAAATTTCTCTGTCACCAAGCAAATAATACGTTCTAGTTTATGATCACTCGCTCTTAATGACCTGCATTCCATTATCTCCTCCTCGCCTATCATGAGTTAAATCGCTAATCGGTACTCAAAACAGAAAACCTCACTCGCACACATCCACAGAAACTGCGCTACCGGACTTACAGAGGTTACCTTCCTCAGAACCTTTAAATGATGCTGACCTGGGTTAATTTGTACCATATTCCACACTACGTCACCTCCACTCAATAATTATGTATTCTCCTCCAGTTTCCTCCTTTTCATACACAGAAACTCCCGACTCATGATAGTTGATGAATTCAATGTCTCATCCGTTGGCTTAAGATCCTCGACAGTCTCCTATTCTGCTCCGGATGTAGACTTTTCAAGTACCAAAGTCTTCATTGCATTGTGGTGTTGCAGCCCAATGAACTTTTGATCATCGCACCAACGTTGGGGACCTGGTTTTTACCAGTTAATGTCCCATGGGCAGTGAGGTTCTCTGCTGGGCAGAAGAAACCGCCTTGTGTTATCGTCGATGATTCTGTATTACCGGAGATGTGCCAGCGAGTTTTCACCTACTCCGGCGTGATTCCCATTGTTATGGCTACCCCACGAGCATTCTTCACTCTTTTTCCCCTGGGCCGATCAAAACATCTCGACGGCTGCCAGTGTAACGGTAGATACTACTGATGAGGCATGAGGGTAGTATGTAGTTATCTCGTAAATCTGCTTCGCGTCCATTGAAAAGTAAGATTTATTACGGAGTTTGCGAAACTGCTTTGTAGCATCCGTTTACATAGCCAATGAGTATCCAGAAAAGTTCAGGAAGACGCGTTCGAGAAGAAGATGAATACTCAATTTTAAAAAACCAGATGCATATGAGAGATTCACTTCTCCGTCCAATAGTCCGTAACCGTTCAGTTGGTGTTTCCCAACAAATAACTCCGCAGCGGAAGCCTTCTTCTTTTCACCAGGGGAAGCAAGAAAGCAATCTCACCTACATTTCCAATTATCACCATCACCGTCAAGTGCCATGGCACCCTCATTAACTAGCAGTCTATTGATCGGCTATTGATATACCCGGTGAGCTTGGTGGTCGCCAAACCGACAACTAGCAGGCACAACTGAGGCAAAGCACATCGTCATTGTTGGTTGGCCTTCCATGGTAAAACTTTTGGAACAGTTCAGTAAGTGAACCACAAGTGTGCTAATTACATTCATTTCCGGAAATCCATAAAACCTGATTGCAGTTGGTCATCGTAGGCTGTTTTAACGCAAATCACTCCCTTGACTACATACAAACAGGATTGTTATGCATACATAGCCGCACTCTCGATGCTTTCATAATTTCAGCAAGGAGACATTGTGATGAACTTTAATGTTTTGAGGTTCTCGGGGCAAGGTAGGAGGAGAAGCATAGACACTGCTTTAAGTGAAATTGACGTTTTGTCAAATGGGGTGATATAGGATTCTGCCAATACAACCTCATTGACTCTTCTGAGTCTGTGACTCTGATTTTGATTCCAAAGTTTTCTACCTCTTCTACGTCACATCGCATCTAACCAACGTCCCACTCTTAGAGACTATAACTTTATTTGGTTACACTGATCACTTTTAATCTCCATGATTTCCTTTGTCGACGGTATGCAGAAGATACCTTTATGCCTGTGTCAAACGGAATACGAATTGGTGTTTCAATAAATCGTTTTACCGGAGAACACCCTGTGAAACCGAAAGTGACGGTGTATTTAACTTATCGAACGTTAACTTAGTAAGACCATGTACAAGGTAATGTCAGAGATCTGTCCATTGAGAATTCACATGGACGGGACAGCACGTGAACTTCTATGGTTTTATGTCAGTGTGGCAAAAACGAACTCTGACCCAGACTTTGACGAAATCAGCGATGCGGGTCTGTTCTGTGGACATACTGTACTCTGAAGCGAAGTACACTGTCAACATACTCGTAGCTACTTGTTTATCAGAGAGATTTATAGCCCAGAGTATTTCTGAGCATCCCATCCAATTGTGCGTCACAACCGTTACAAAGAATCTAATTTAATTTCTTCTTCCCTGTAAAATGTGTTTACCAGAAGATACAGTCAATCGGCGCTTATTTTCACCTCTACCATGCACTTTTCAGATGCAACTTTAGTCCATCCAGAAAGCCACCTGCTCAAAAGTTCTACTTCGACCTGTGCGATGGACTTCCACTACTTTGATCTATGTGTTAAACCATTCTACATATTCCCAGGGGACGCAGTACGGGGGTGAATAGTGTGTGTGAATCCAACGGAACCCGGACTCGGGTTGATGGATTTGGTGACCACTCCCGGTTCTTAAGTAGGATCACAAATGCTTTATGTTAGCTAATTAACTGCACCGTGGTCACATTGAACCGGAAAATGGTCATCTGAGAGAGAGAGAGAGAGAGAGAGTAAAGTGACATTTAACCCCCCTGTTCTACATTTGAATCAAACAGATAACCATATTGTCATATCTATTGATCGAACTCTCCAGATTCAAACCACAACACACGAAATGATGTTATTTCTCCACGGACACATACCAGACTAAGCTATACACAGAAATTTCCTTCGCTAGTCATGCCAGTACAGGTCAGACAGCAAGACAAAGGAGCCCTAGAAATACCGCAGTGTTGAGTCATTCTTGCACATTATATCCGACAAAGTAAAAACAGAAAAACGAATACTACTTTGGCGTTATCGCAGTCAGGCGCGTTGAAGGTAAAATATTCCGGTTGTAAGACCGAGAGGTGGGGTGGACAGTTTGCAGAACAGCACAACACACCTAACGGTATTTAAAACAAAAATAAACAAGAAAGTAAACATAGACATGTACAAATAAGCACGTGTCTGATAAAACCTTCTAGAAGAATCCGCAGATGTACAATTTAAGTAATTCAGTGCAGTCTGGGGGTTGAGGATGAGACCGTCCTTCGTGAACAAGTCCCTACTGTTACTGACCCTACGAAGCCACAGTTTGAAAGAGCCATGAAAGTTAAGATGCCACTTGATCAACGCGTTCTAGGGAAGTTCCAGTGGACGTGCAACCCGATGTCGTTCCGGAACTCACGTCAAGTTGACTTCGGGTAGTACTCAAGCTATCTGAAATTGAATTATCAGTTGGCGAATTGCACTTCGTACAAGGAGATATTGCGTTTGGAGGGACAATTTGATTAGATGGGCGACGAAGTTGTACGGGAACCGTCGCAGCAGCAGCTTCAAGTGAATACCAATAGTTGCAATCACACGAATGAGCAGACTGGCTATCTGAGCCATCCACTCCATCCTGATGTTGGTGTGTTGAGTGGATATGGTTATTTACATGAGTTGGGCTGATCTCAGCAACTTCTTCTGCCATCTCTCCAGCCAATGACGTGGAAGCAGAATCTCTTGGGATAGTTTCATGGGCTTCGAGATTTCTTCCTTCCGGAAGTATGTGTGCATGCGACGCTTTGTAGATTCCATTGACTAGAGTGGGTAAACGGTCTTGACCGGTGTGTTTCTGGTGCCCAGAAAACTGATTGGCTCCTGCAATGTCTGAGTCACCCCTGGGATAAATCGCTTGCTTTTGGAATCCGGACATGGTTCCCTGGTTTCCTCGGCCACAGGTGGACAAGCCAACATGGCCTACCATTCCAGGACGGTGAATTGAATGTTTTCGCTCTAGATGGGTGGAGGTTCTCTGGCTGGTTGTTGGCTGTATTCCATTACCATGAATGCCCACACTTCCGCTCATGTTTAGGGCTCCAGCTCTTGATAACTGTTCTAAAGAAGTAGATGCGATCTGCTCTGATCGCATCAAACCGTCTCTTGAACGCTTCTCTTTGTGGTATCCACATGTGTGAACCCTAGGTAGGCTGCGATGTCCCAGATGTTCACACATGCCATCTAATTGTCTTGGACCAGGTTCCCTTGAAACCCTTTCGTTAATGTGTCCCTCGTGATGTGTTGCCTGGTGAACCAGTCTTCGTACTTGTTCCTGATGTCTTGGACAAAAAGCAGCAGTTGGAAGTTCTCTGAGTGCGGCGGCAACATTTTGTTGTTGGCGAGCCAATGCTTTCAGACTATGTCTACGACAAAAATGATGTTGTGCCGTCGGTGCCATCTTATCAAAGGGTCGCTCTACTGATCCTACCCTGTAGGGAGCGGATGATCGGTGAGAATAATCAACTGGTCGCGTGCTTGTTAATGACAACATTGACTTGGCCGGTTTCGGAGTGGCAGAATTTATGGGGTGTGCTTCTTCACTTAGCGGTGCACTCTTTACAGTTAGGGCAATACTAGTATCGCTCACCGTACTGATAATATTCTGACGTTCTCTAGATGTCACGGAATGATCAAACTCTTGGGTATGATATAAGTAGGCTGATCCCGACTGTCCCTGTACCAATGTTGTCCCATGCTGTTCTATGGTGGAGTTTGCTTCACGTGACCTTAAATAACCAATCACGGTCGAGAACAGTTTCCAGTCACCAAAAGACATGCCTAGCTCTTTTTGTAGTTCATCCATTGAACATATAGTTAACACATTCCCAGTGAGATTCATTCGTCTTATTCTTTCCTCATATTTCCCGATTGGCATATTCTTTACCCGTTCAACAACCGATCGAGATGCTCTAGTTGACGTTGGGGCTGGTGGTGCAGGATCATTGACGGGAGTTTCCGAATCACTAGAACTGGTTCTAACCTTTCTGTCCAATTTATGCGCGCGGGAGTTGCTCCGTTCCTTGCTAATTCCAAGTTTGTAGCGAGATCTTGATTTTGCAGACGTTTGGTTAGCCGATAAATCCTCGATGTCCTTAAGCAAGTTGCATATGTCATCGATAGTCATTTGATGCAACTGCTTTTTGGGCAATCCATGCTGAAAGGTAAAAAGACAATAATGTAAACTGAATTTCCAGACACAAATTACTGGTAGACTGGAGGTACAAATTGGCTAGATTGATCCCTTGTGATGGCAATGTGAGTAAACTTACGTTGTTTTCCTGAGGCATTTCTTTGGAATTAATTGACTAAGAACGCTTTTCAAGCAGCAGTATAAAAGTTCCTAGAGTCTGCAGTTAAAAAGATTCTCCCACAACACAGGCATCTAAAGCCAAAGATATTTTGCGTACGCTCTGTGGAGGCCATATTACAGAGGCCAAATGCAATTCAGCGAATGACGTCAAACTTCCAAACAGAACAGTCTCTTACAGAAGACTGCTTGTGTTTTCATTTCAAATGTTCACTTACTTGGAGTCGCCGGCCACCCATACCTTATACAAATGACGAACTACTTAAGATAGGTGTCAGAGTGTTCCGAAAAGCAATCTAATGACCAGTGAAGATATACTGAAGTTTCACTTACAAACAACTTGCAAATGAATAGCCGAAAAAGCGCTGGACAGCTGTTCTGCTTCCCGATGGTGCACTTATAATAGATACCCGGGGAGTTATCAATCGTCCGCCGTCCAATCAGACAGGAAGTAGAGATGCACGCGACTGTGCCTGGCTGTTCATGTGCGCGCTAGGTGACGAAGCGGACAACGAATCACATCAATGTATTAGCCAGTTTATTGGGTATTGGTTTTTCTCTTTAAGTCCGTGATAAATCTGTACCAACAGGGTGACCCTCCATGAGCTTCTTCTCTTAACCCAACGGTGTCTTAACATGTCCAGGTACAGACAGCTGACTGTGGTGTGTTCAACTCACACTCAAACAGAATATGGTGCCAGCAATCGGTGACAGGAAGTTTCATGAGTTGGTAGAATAATATCCCTTCTGCCGTGCTATTTATATACTGCTTACTACCATTCTATTTATATGTAATGCTGTTTGGCTAATTATTAAAAGGACCCACATATATATATATATATATATATATATATATATATATATATATATATATATATATATATATATATATATATATATATATATATATATATATATATATATACCCCAATCTATAGGAAAGCAAGAAACAACGCACTACAATCCAGAATATGCATAGGCCAAGTCACGTGGAATGGAAAATTATTTTCCATGAGCAGTTCGTTTAGTTAGCCTGAAAGATGGTTGCTTTCGAGTTCTAGGCAAGGCGAGATAATTTCCTCTTGCTTAGTGAACAGGGACTAGTCTTCAAAAGGTATATTGAAATTGTTGTTGTGTAACCACTTAAATTATCGGCGCGCGACAGGCTGGACAACTAACCTTAATGAAGTCACGTGAGCTCACGCAATAACAACTTACTTGGTCATTCTGTAACTGACCAAGCGCGTGTATATGTTAAGTCTTTACAGGATGATTTATAAAGGTGCACGCTTCGAATTACTATCATTGGTAGGAATCTAGTGTGGTTTGGAAAGTATCGATGGGAAGTGGATGCCTCATAGAAAATGGATGGATTAACGTAAATAATGCCAAGAAACTTCTACTGGTAGAGGAACCAGGATGGATAGGGCACTTTTGTGCTTTAGCTTAACTCTGATTACCATTAGGTGAAATCCTTTCAAAACGAGAGGCGCCATCAGTTGCAATTTTATTCTGATAGCCTTTGGGCTCGCAACTAGCCAGTACATCTAACCGCAATTTAGAACGTTTGCCGAAGCAATAGGCACAGTTGTAACATACGCTTTCGGTAGTAATGCGATTGGGGAATCTTTCATCATAATGCATATGTCTACACGACAATGAATTACGACGTACTTACGTATCTACGCCCGACAGATTAGCTACAAATCAACACAAATGTTTCTGTTCTGTTATGAAAATGACAAGACACAGCTTTCTTTTACTTGAAGCTCGAAGCAAGGCAGTCACCATACTTATAGGAGACTGAGTAAATCGAGTCGCGTATCTCTGCTTGCTTGCCAGCTAACGACAGTTTCTTCTAATAAGTATAGGTTCATGCCTTACGAGAAGTAAATCTTGCGAGAGATCGATGAGGTCAGAGCTTGTTGTATCAACTAATAGTTGTTTCATGCACAGGATATTTGCCACTTAAACAACTGTACTATACAAACTGTCTCAGAGTTCACGGTAAAAGCTTTCAAGCTGATAACTGAATCATCGGTCATGTAAGTTACGAAAGTTTGCACATAACGTTTACGAAGATATTATCCCACCAAAACATTTCAGTTGTTTACGACTCCGTCAATATCGGGGTGTCACGATGAACTTCGACAAGCGCATTAGTGCGGGGTTGGGAGATGCCCAACCATTCGAATCAGAATGGCGCATTCAAAGAGAGCAGAGGGCGATCCGCTGCTGTGTGATACAAAGCGCTGAAGACTTCGTTGGCCCATTCTATCATTGTTTGACCCCAATGTGCCAGTCATTCATTTTCACGTCTTTGAACCTAGGACTTGTAAAGGTGGCATATAGAAAACAAATAGCAATTTGGTCAGACGAGGTTCGGATGCCGTGTACTGAGCTTCAGGCCACTAGTTGCTTTCAGTCTGTAGTAATCGGTCAGGTGCAACCTTCCTGGAAGCATTTTGTTTGTGGATATATTCGCCTTTGTTGACACCTGGAGTCTGTCCCATATCAGTCATCAGCAGATGATCTTCTTTGGTATGTTCAAGTGGTGCATATAATATTTGGCTTTGTTGAAGCACACGGCTTCCGTCCGAGTCGGTGACCGACAGGTTGGGGATTCAAGGGTACAACAGTCAGCCAAGCAGTCCAAGACTGCAGTACCATACGCGGTGTGTTTGCCTAGTGCCAACCGACAGAAGCTGCGACCAAGGCTGACCACAACTGGTAACGGTAGGGCCTGTTTCCAGCAGCCGTAATCCGAGGGATATAAGCTTACAAGATTTTTTCCAATATAACTAAAATACTCCAAGGAAGAAAGTTATGAAGTTTCTCATGTATGAATCCTGTCGCGCCCAAAATGGACCCCGAAGTCTTTCTTGACGCTGAATGGTTACGGTTCACTTACTATGCGCAGTAACCAAGAGATATTACTAGGTAACACAATACCATGGTTCTGCTAAACTTTTGACAATGTTCCATCAGAACCTGGCTGCACTCTGCCTTCCCTACGTAGTTCAGAATATATTGTCCAGGTGATACTATTTCAGTAGGGTCAGGATCATGTGTGAAAAATCGATTAGTGGAGTCACCTGGCACTGAAGATAAACTCATGTGTGAAAAATCAATTAGTGGAGTCACCTGGCACTGAAGAGAAACTTAAATGCACATAGGCTCCTAGCATGCCTCTATATCGCATACTGGTGTAGAGAAGTGGGACGCCCCCTGCAGAAAATATCGATGGGAAATAAAGCGGTTTATTTGGGTTTTGATGTCCTTCAACTTTGTTGCATAAGAAAGAAGGGTAAATTTTGTTACTATTTGCTCTCAGTAGCCATAATGTTCCAAAGTTTGCTTTCTGGCACACCTTAAGTCATGGAACGATAGCGGTCAATGTTTACTGCTCTGTTCCGAGATCAACCCCGTAAGCCTGTTGGTTGTAAAACTCCAGGCTTACGATAGGGTGGCCGTGAAAAGTTGAGAATACTTGTCCAGAAATTCACTAGGAGTCGGGTTTCTGATGGTTTCAACGCTTAGTTCAACTAGATTAACTCTTTGGTGTCCAGTTAAAAATAATATGTTGTACGTCAGTCAAATGCTTTACTTTGGAACAGATCACAAATATCTATACGGACTGTGCCCTTTGTTTTTCTCAAGAAAAATCACCCGTGGTGCTACCACTACTGACAGCGGTACTCGTATATTTAGTAGGTTTATTGGAGTTTTCCCGTCTATTAATCCAGCGGTAATGCTGCGCAGTAGCATCCACTATGTTAACGGCAATACCAAGTAGCCAGTCACCTCCTAACGAAGCACAGAATTGTGGATGATTGACATCTTCGTACTGTCGAATTGCTGCCAAGATGACACCACTTTTGTGAGTTATTATCACCTTCTGCCGAATGAACCAACATGTTTAAAATTCTACGAGAGTATCGATTTGAAACAGAAGATGCAATCAGGCAAGAAGATAGACAATAATCACAGCCTACCTTTAATTTGACGCGACAAGCGGGAGCCGTGCTCGCAGTGGTCATGGAGGGATGACATCTCTTGATTTCGTCCGTCTTTGGTTGTTGTCCGCTGGATGAGATACGCTTACTGGAATCCAACGACTGAGATCTCACTTCAGCTGGGGTAGCTGTTTTATGAAATAAGCGGTAGTCGGTATTTTGACCCTTAATGAAATCTCTGGTATAAATAATACACCTGATAACGTTGGAATATCACCAACAGGTTACTAAAAAGCAATGAGAGGTTGGAAATTGGTGCGTAATGGTTTGGTAGCTGAGACTACCGAAATGCGAACCCTGAATGTGTTGTACTGTGCTGGGACGTAATTCTTCCGATTGAAATTTGTCCAGTTTTTAAGCTGAAATACTTTCTTTCCGGGTTAGAAAATGGGAGATGCTTCGGATATGCATTTGGCGTTGGCATTAATGCCAAAATAAACTCACCTACTATTGTCAAATGCCGTGAAAACTACAGATGACCTATTTCTCTGCTGAAATGTATTTGACCACAATCATCTGTTGACATAAAGGACTAAGTCGCCACGCCTGCGTAGGCAATCACCACCTACAAACGGCACACAACCGTCCAGTTTTTTGAATATGTGTACCTACCGCATATTTGTTGATTAACCGGCACCATTAACAGTGACGGCTGAACAGACTCTTCTGAAACGTGGGCAAGTGCCACCTACACACCTATTCGTCTGTCAGATTTCTCACCCAAAGACCTACTTTGAAGCTTTCAGATAGCACGTCACTCAGCTCCTTGCTAATGGACACTCACTTCTACTTACTTAAGTGAGTTTCATCTGAGAACGAATGGCTGTTATCCAGATCCCTGTTTCAAATAACAATGCTTGAGATAACAATGCTTGGTCCAAAGATATAATTAGCCATGATCCGCTTGGGAAACTTTGGCTTTTGGCTGATTCTTTGTGAGGAACCGCTAAAACGTTTTCAGCTGTCCTTCATGTAAAGCAGTCACGTGCAGGAGATTGATCTGCTCCAGTGGAAATATCCCGGTAAAGAATCATTCTGCGCCAACGTCAACCAGAGCATTTGGTTCGAAACGGTGAAAACCGAGGTGAAAACTTATTTTCGTGATCATCATATTAATTATTGATAAATTTCAAATTTTTCCATGAATCATCCAACGCTGTATCCGGCTGGAAGGAACTGACGCCAGTTGGCCAAAGTAACTGAATGAACTGATAAATAAAAAGACTCATACTAGATGGTGGGCTAAGTTCGCCTAGTGCAATAGTCTAAGCATAGTCTAAGCATAGCTTGACAAGCTCCAATCCAAATTTTAGCCCCATGGTGAACGTAAGCATGACCTCGATACCAGATTTGGCCAAGCTCTACCACTTGACTCACCAACAAAAGCTTTAATCTAACATTAACGCTAGACCTTGTCCTGACCTCAACCAAAACTCCTGTCCTTAGCACAAATTCAAATCCACCTGCAAATCTAACTGTAACACCGAAGATGACGCCACATCTAATCCATACCTCTAACGCAAAGCCCAATCACAATCATTAGCCATTTTCTGATCCTAACCGCAAATTTAGCCTGCAAGCAAGGCAAGGATAAGCTCAAAGCCTTTGCAAACACTATCCTACTTGCGGACTTCTGGTACTCTAATATCTAGGACATTGAAATACGGTATACTGACGTCTGAACCCACCAATAGATGGAGAACATTTTCTAGCTTGGCTGTTCACTCTGAAGTCTAGTGGTAACTTCGTGCGATGGACAAAGATGTTTTCTGTTCTATTTATCTCAAAAATTGTCTACTTTCAGGCTGGTTCCGAACTGTATATCTGGTGAAAACAAAATGGAATACTTACACGAATTTTGTTGATCTAGACATTTTTTCACCAGCTTTGCAGAGACTCATTCCTGGGCCTTTGATGCCAGTACTTGTGTCACCGAATCCCCTAAAACCCGATGAGAGCTTTCAACACCTGTGTCGCTGTTAGCACGCGTCCAAACCGAAAAGCACAAGTGCAAAGAACGAGTCGCAGAGGTCATCATCGGTCAACATATGACCAGAATAGCAGGTGACTGCGCGGAACATACCAAACACGACATAGCAACATACTACCAGCGGAGCGGATGTGAAAGTGGTCAAGGCGGAACCGACGAATGCGTTCAAGCAAGTGGCCATATTTGGCCAATCAGCCATCGTATATTCTTACGCCCTAGGTTTGTGTCTGACTGATAGTACAGTCCTTACTCTGACTTTCTGTCTTCTACTCATCGTGTGTCTGGCGTAACCTAGTGGGAATCGACAATTACACTTCTCATACGAAAACCACGTGATTATTACCCCACAAGCCACAGCCTAGTTGGTAGCGCGAAAGTGAACATAATTCAACATTCGAGTCGTTGATCTAGCTTTCGATTCGATGTCATTATAAACAGTCCTCATGTTTGTTGAACAAATGTTTGGAAAGGTACTGTTTTGTGACCAAGGGAGCATATGTACGCGTATTCCCGCGTGTTTTTCGAGGGAACTAAGTTCACCATATTTTAATATAGAAGTGTAGGCACGCGTGTCACGTGATGATTCCGTCACTTTCCACCAATCACTTTTCACCAATGAACACACTAAACCCAACCATAAACAACAAGCTGCCAAAGGACGATAATCCATTTCTGATTGACTTTAGGATGTGTTCGTTAAAAATGCTAATTAGATTGGTGGAGTTTATGTATCGATCAAAAGCAGCATTTGGAATTGTGAGCTCTCTCTCCCTCTGAAAATGGACACTTTGGAGGAATGCAGTCAGATTTGGCCTTTCGAGAGAATTACACGGGACCTAGCTGAATCTCTCGTTCTTGATATTTTTAACAAAATTTGTTTCCAAATGAGTGTATTGCGCTGATCTCGTGCAATTTGGGTTCGAGTAGAACATGAGGTTGACGGAAACTCGGGGAGTGCGCCTACGTGATGAGCCAGAAGTAGGGCGAAACGGTTGTGGACTATCGAAGAATTTTCAGAAACCTTATAAGGGATGTATGACGTCTATGGAAACTTTTGATTCGACCAACTTATGATCGGCGCCGTAGAGAAACTATCACGAAGACCGAATGGAACTGACTACTTTGTTCAAAGAAGCGTGATGGCTGCTGTTACAAACGGATTTGGCGTCAGATTAATGTACGAGAAGATTGTAAAAAATGTTATCTATAAGACCAGAAGCCCACACCACAGACAAACTGACCACTGATATCACTACAATACGGATTTTTGCATGTACGAATATCCCAGATAAGCCACAATTACTGGCCATGTCCTTGGATGGAAAAAGAAACCTATTATGTTTTATCCAATGGTCACAGAGTGAAGCACCAACAAGCAAGAAAAAACAGCCGTTCGGCTCTAACACTCATTCAATGCCTACCTGTCATGCAACCCGAAAGAAGTATGAGGGCTTAGACACTGCCAGGTCGAGATGAAAAGATAGGGCTCGAAACACGGACTTCTCATGGTTGGGTCCCTAACCAATGAGCTACCTCAAGCCCAGTAAATCACCCGACAAGTGCAGCTAGTCCACGCGCAAGTTCAGTACAGTGAGAATAATTTATGGAAAAATCAACTCGAAAAGAGAGTATGCCTTTGGAATTCACATTCTTGTTTGGCAAGTACTGTAATCCCTCTCCAGCTACGGAACGCTTTCTCAGAACTACCTTTTGCAGTGTGAATCCAACAAACCGGTAGAATCAGCTGATAATTGAACGAGGAAGAAGTAACACCTGTCGCAAAACAAACAACTGGCCAGTATTTCACCTACGATCTTGACTTCCTTTAGTTCCACGGTGAAAGCAAATGGAAGGCTCGTAATCGATGTTATTGTCTGCAATTGTTTACACATGACTGCAAATGACACTTGTATCGACACAGTCCTTAGGTCGGAAGTAGTGGAAAGTGTGTGTTGTATGGGCGAATCTCCGGCCACTCACAAGCAATGCGAGTCCACTGTGATTATTGATGTATAAGATTTTTCACAGTAGCTATTTTCTGTAAAGTGGACTTGAGAATCAGCGAAATACGCTCATTTGCAAACAAATTAGGTTTTTCGAGAGACTCTCCTGGAACCCAGCTAAATCTCTCCTCTATGATGTTTTTGAGCAACTGAAGGTAATGCACACGGCCTCCTCATGTTTCACTCAATACGAGAGATTCAACTGGATTTCGGGTGAGTCTCTTGAAAAACTAAATTCATTTACAAATGATTGTATTTCGCTAATTCCGTGTAATTTGGGTTCAAGTAGAACAGAAGGTTGACAAAAACTCGAGGATTGCACTTACTTGATGAGCCCCAATCACGGCAAAACCAGTCATGGGCTATCGAAGAATTTTAAGAAGCCTTATGTGTAGTATATTATGTCTGAACATGAGGATGTTATGATATCAAGGTGAGCATAAGGCGGAATGGATAATTGTCACTTAACCAAAAGGACTTCAAGGTCTATGCGATTCTTTATTCTAAAGGAACATAGCTTGATTTCCGCTTGTCCACCGAGCGGCTTGTGTAAAGTAACCTTGATAGACGTCAGTGACGAATATTTCCGAAACTCACCTCCGCCGGATTTTTCTTCAACCATACTTTCGCTCATGTTTACTTTTGTCAGAAGCACGTCTGAAATTCGAAAAAAGGAAACATGTGGGGTTCACTGGAAGTGCTAACATTGTTTTTTTTTTAATCTTAAATACGGTTCCGTGCAGTCCCAGTTACTCAGAACTATCAGATATCAGCGTGGATAGGGACAGCCGTATGAACGACACAAAGAAGCGCTATGGATTCGATTTCGCTTTCATTTTTTAGAAACGAGTTTGTGCAGTCCTAGTTTTCTAAGGAATTCTTCAACTTTCATTCATGATTTAGACGGCATTTCTCTGTGTATGGCACAGCAGAGCTGTGGTTGTTCAAACTGATTGTGCAGTGCCAAGAAACTTGGTGGCAGATCAATTAATGACTGCTTTCCTTTACTTAGCCGATAGACTGTCCATAGGGATAGTTAGCCAATAGCCATGTCGCGTCAGCAAAATGGGGTTTCTTTAGGCAGGATATATGGCTGGTGGAATCTCGGAGACTGCGCCTATCTGATACTTTCCAAGAATGAATGCGTCGGTAGTGGACTACTGAAGAGTCTTCAACAATCTCAAAGGAAGCTGTTTTGTCATGAATGTTGAATGCAATACAGCAAATATCGTGCCAACTGAAACATGAGCTGGCCTTTGTGCAGCACATTCAGTTGAGGAATATCACAAACGGAAGAATTAACTGAGCCTCTCATTGACACAGGTGTAATTCCGCAGTGAACATCTTTCGTAGACACTGAAGACCTCTTTTATCTGTGGTCAATACAAAGTTCATTGCTGCGGTAACATAAGGAAATAGCACTAGAAACTATCTAATCTATGTTTAGTTACAGTGGTCAACCCTTAATTCAATGGTTTGCGTGGTTTTATTTGGCGTGTTATGGGACCAACTACCACTAAACGGTTGTATAATGCTCCCTGATTTTCGCAGTGACTTAAAACTATCTAATAAACATGAGGCAGTTTGACGGGTGCTTAACCAACTGTAACTGGCCGGTATTCGATCACATAAATAGAGCGCTTGATTCTAACCTGAACGTCAAACCAGTTAACGCAGCTACAGTCCAGTTGGAGAGTTTAAAACTTTGTAATTCTCGGCTTAGTCTGGGCAAGTCGGAGAGAACAACCATACTTGGAGATAAATTCACATAGTACAGACGCACCTACCGTTGTATGCGTAAAGTGAAACAAAATGACGCAAAATATAAGGTTAGGGGTGTCGTTCATGTGGGATTCAGGTGTAAACGTGACCAGCCTATAAATGCAGAGTAGCCTCAACTGGTTCCAAACAAGCAGCAGACTGCTTTATCGAACTTAATTTAAGCGAATGGCTGCATCGCGCCTTGACAACCAAAGAAACCAAGAATGTACGCAGTGCTGTGAGAGCAGAGTTAGAATACTCTTTTGGTCACCTCAAGGTGACCTTATCCAAAAATGAGAACTGGTTTAAAGCCAAGCCAAGTAATTTCGGTAGCCGATTATGTTTACGGATATGCCAAAAAGTTCTTTAGTAAGAAGAAGACAAAAGACGCATTGATGATGTCACCTCGATTGGTGGTGGAACGTTTGCAATTAAAATACCCTGCTCAGCGAACAAACCAACGACTATCCACACTACCTGAGCTACCGACATTTTCGTCTAAGGGCTCAACGTTGTTGTTTACCATACTTCATGAACTTGTAAGGAATGAAATTCCACAGAAACTCATTTTTCTTATTTTAGTTTTGAACGGTTCACCTTATCACTCTCACTTGGACAAATGGCTTGAACCAATAAGAACATTCTTTAGCTTAGCTTGAGCGGCTTGGTATCGCTCAGACAGTTGTGTTTTTCTGATGAACAATCCCTTTTTAGCAAAGCATTCCATAAGAAAACTGTGAAAAATTTTGACGACTTTCTAGCTGTCCACTGTAGTCTAGATAACCTGTAGATGTTCAGTCTTAGAGATCTAATTTTACCGTGCACCATGGATGTCAAGTTGTATTTTCGCTAGCCACAGACAACAAGCTGGCATCGTCATGAGGAGTTCTTTGCCACCCACACTGGTGGGCTTTTCATGTGGCGGAAAATTGCACCGAGGAGATTTTTTTCGTATAAACAATATTTAGATGACATTCTTTCTCGTGACAGAGGATGTAAATCAGGTGGAAGGTTTGTCCTATTTTTAACACATTTCAAGGAGGCTTTTCTATTTCTTGTGATTTTATAGTAGAAAACAAAACACTCTTTTTGGACATTTTGATTGCCAAAAGTATCAGTGGTACCATGTCTTGCTCCGTCTGCCAAATGCCTATCTTGACAGGACGGTATCTAATTTCCACAAATTTCTATCCGGCGCAAAACAAATGCATTTTGGGTCCAGACATCATTCAGTAACAGCGAGACTGATCTTCACTTCGAACGGAACCACTGCGGAGGTTGAATTGTTAGAAAGAATTTGATTCGACTAAATCTAAAAATGGACGACGAGGCCGTTCGATTCACAATACGTAAGAAATCCATTTACTCGGAGATCTCCAGAACTGATGACCAGGTACTTGGGCAGTTTTCCTGGACCTAAATAATGCCCTGTGCTGAACATATACAGTAGCACAATTCGCTGATAAGACCTACGCAAGTGCTATATTTGTTAGTATTTAACCATTCAGTTTTTGAAATAGTAGTTATTCGTTAGACAGTCAAATACTTCCAGTCTACTCCTCATACAGTATGAGGCAAACAGCTAATAATATGACTTCCAATTGGATGATATCAGAATTTATCACTACTGGATGTGATAAACTTATAAGATCACTTTAACTTGTTGGACTCCACTCTCGCCAGTTCCTATCTAATGACATATCGTCTGAGGTCGTTGGCTTGTTCGCTGAGCTTGGCAGTTTGATTGCACTCAATTTGATGTAATCAAATTGCCTAGTTCAGCGAACAAGCCAACGACCACTTTATCCACCTGAGCTACCGACGGTTACCTCTATAGAAAACATATCGTTCAACTTTCACGATCGGTTGGTGAATTAGACTCCTATTAGATAAGGTGAAACAAAACTTAGTTGATAAATATGCAGCATACAAAAAAGTCTTCCGAGAGCATGATCAGCTCAGTAATACGTGACTTCCAGGAGGCCAAATTATGTTTGAGAATCAGAAGCTAAAGGGTTTTTATTAAAGCAAACTGAAACAAATAAGGGGTCGAAAATTAGACAGAGTTTGCTAAGCGGTTTTCTGGAAGATGGATGCTACGAACGGAAGTAATGAAAGAACAGGGTAGTTGTTGGAATCCAATAGATTAGTTTTCGCGCAGTTTACACAATAAACGACAAAAAAGCCAATCTTTATGTGGAAACCACCCAAGAATTACACAACATGTACGGCCCTGTCTGATCATAAGTAGATGATTATAGACGTACTGACGCTTAACGAGAGACTAGTCGCTCCAATAAAGAGGCGAATCCAAAGCGGTTTTTGAAGTCAGACATTTTGCGCTCCGATTCAACGTCTATTGATTCGCATGTAGCTAAGGGATATCCTCAGGGAAGCTTAGATAAACTTGTAATATGGAACTCGAACAGTCTGAATAGTTAAAGGGGTCTCTTGAAAGTGAAATATTTTGCGTCATGTTTCGGAACTACTTTGACCTTCTGTGGGAAGCTTCATTCTGCCTATCTTTGTCTCCACGGACCTTCTGGATGGCCTTGAAGTTTAGTCCTGTGTGTACTGATAGTATTCGGCACTTTCAAAAACATTTTTGGTGGTGTTGGGAGATTTGAAAGATTTTTGGTGCAGATTTCTCTTGTAGGTAAAGCTTATCTATGCTGGAAAGCTGAGAAGCACTGTACAGCTGTTGCATTCTTACTAAGAATCATCAGCAGTGCACATCTCACCAAATTCCAGAGAATCTCGAACCGGTGACCTCCCGGCCACAAGTTTGAACTCCTAACCTTTCGTGGCCAAACTGTTAGGCGTTCAAACTTGTGAAGCTAGTGTCTTATTTTTTTAGAAAACCATGGGCTCCACAAGTCGTAGCTACAATAGGGCTCGCGTTTGAAACCCGATCTGCAGCTGAATCGAGTGATCTTCGTATTGACCGTCTTTCGCAAGGCACATTAAAATTGTTCTTGGGCTTACAGGTACTCAGAAGTTTCATCACATGTGAATATGCGGTTGAGTGTGGATATGCAAGAGTACTGGTCACAAACAGTCATCGGTCTGTACAGCAATGAAAAAAATATTAGGCAAAAGACAGACTGTTCCGACGATGCTCGTCTTTGCCATTCAATCAGCGCATACATTCTTGTGTTATGTGCACAAGGCCAACTGACATTAGTTTGTCTTTTTCATTCGTTTGTCTCCTTATTTGCTAGGATCACTGGGCACATACCGGAGATCCATCCACTTATAAAAAACAATCTGGCATGATTTTCCACAATGGTGTGCTGAAGCGCTGCTTTGTCCTTTGCGGAAAAGTCTACGATATAGGACTGTTGAAGAATCTAGTCGCTCAGGTTTCGGTTGTGCAATTTAACCGAAAAACCACCACGTCGTCACTTTTATTAAAAAATTTTGAAACTGAGAACTTTTGCACCAAAGAATACATAGAGCCAAAGTTTCATGAATTTCTTCCTTTTTTAGTTTTGTAACTACCGTCTTTCTATTGCATTTGTCTGCAAAAGATGCTAATAACTGCCGATGAATTTGACTTCAATTTTCCTCACCTAGATCGGGGTTGCCGTGAATTGTTTGATCAGGCGTCTCCAAGACCGGACAGCGGTTGGATAACCGATGATCCAAGAACTGTTTCACGACTTTGATGTCATCCTTACATGCTTAAGGAAAGTCGGTCTAAGAACCAGATACTGAACCGACCTTAGTTGATACACCACATAGTCGTGGAAGGCATAAAATCAGGATACTGACTAGTGGCAAGAACGTATTATTCCACCTTACTTCTCAGGTAACTCAGTCTGGTTTTAAGGACAAACCCAGATGAAGATCCGACATGATCTCAGAGTTATGTCGCAAAGGTCTGAACCGTTGGTCAGGAAGGTAGGAGCTCATCATTTTAGGGTCATCTTGGCCTGCTGAATAGCAACTTTCACTAAACTCAGAAAGATCGCTGGCCACCAGTTTCCAAATGAGCAAGGACGAACGTATCACATGAACTACCTTCCATCGTGATGCATGGCCTCCTAAAAGCCTCAGAGAAAACTCGACTAGTAGTCTATTAGTAGAAAAGAACACAATCCCGGTGGAGAGTATGGAATCAGATGGATTTTAATTTCATGAACGCCTTGACATACTGAAGGGAGTTGATGTGATTACAATCATTTGAAAATATTTCTTGGTCATGTCATAAACACTGGCATGTGCCACTGGGGAGCTTTTAGTTTAACGGCGATGTGGACATGTAGCAGATTATAGTGGATCGTTTACCAGAAGCTCTCACCATACTGCTGCCACTGGTTCTGGACATTCCTGATACCTACATTCCAGTTACATTTGTACCCAAAGAGTGGTTACTGGTTTTGTAACGCATTTTCCCCAAGTTCTTTGTGAATTTACGTGGTCTTAATTCTGTCGTGGGAAGTCGTACACCTCCAGTAAATTAAATATCTTTGGGTACATTCCTATATCCTCTACAGACTTTTCTAGCCTTCCCGATTCGCCTTTCGATTTAGCCTGATTTATGGGGTAACATGTCGAAATATTCTCACCTCGCTTAGTTTGTGGTTTGATTGCTTTGAACCGTGATCATATGGCCAAGTGATCTTTAATTCGTTGGACAAAATTTAATTTAATCATCAGATTTGCATAACAAACACGATGGTTTCATCACGCGGCAGATCATAGTCCATTACAACGATCGCAGTACCATCGACTTTGGTGTGATCGTTTTATTGCCAGGCACTCGAATTCGAAGCAGAAAAATTAACTGTGACTGGCCGCACAAAAGCTCCCTTTGGTCAGCTTGAGTAGCTAGCATGCAATAACTCTTTCTGCATCAAGTGAATCTCTGGAATGGGTACGATAAGACGTCGGACAGAAGTACCCTCTTGAAACGATAATATATTCATTGATGTAGACTTATTAGTGGCTGCAGAATGCAATAAACTAGAGAAATTTGTTTTAGTGTAGTTGGATGCCAATGCACAGTTTAATCTGAGGCCTGATTCAGGTGCTCAGTTGCGAGGTATACGCGTGAGCATACGCATTAACGAGATAAGTAGTCCTTTTCAGTCCTCTTCATCCAAAGTGTTTGAAATGTATACATGCACTATGGGGCTTAACAAAAAAGGGATCATAAACGCTCTTATCTTATCAAAACTCTATACACCTGCTGCACCTGACACACGGCAAAATACGATTACGAACGGAAAGCCCGCACTGGGTGCTATCGTAGAGTACCATGTGAGTTCTGGTCTATGAAATGTAGTGTCCGGATAAATATGACCTTGTTTCCAGGGGGTCTTCTAGTGGCAGGAATCACACAGTGTTGTGTCACTTAAGAAATACATACCACTGATATTGTTGTAAAAAGTCGATTCTTCATTACTTACTTTCATTATCTGACACTGATTTAAAATCCGCCTGCCGTGAAGGGCTAACTAGCAGTTCCATTCATACAATTCACATGAAAGGGCTCGAATCATATGATAAGTTCCATTGGATGTTCTCCAAGCATAATCAAATTACTAGATGCGACACACTGTTTCTCGGTAGTTGCGCATGTTAATTCCCTAATTTGCCATCAATCATCAAGCACACTGAACGGTTCGTCCGAGAGAGAATAGCCTCTATGTACCGCTGTTGGCCAAGACTGAGACAGATGAAACAATGCCCATTTCACAGACACTTTGCCGAGTTTACGTATGGTGTAAATCTATAGTGTTATCATTTATGTTGGGATCTTCATTTGCTCACTTACACTGATACTTCCTTGCTATGCGAATAAAGCGAGCACCCTCTTGGTGAGCGTCTGCACCCGGCTTTCCTGTAACATGGGATTTATAATGGAATAAACGAATGTCGCCTGCAGCGTCATTTGCTAGTGAGCAGATTTTTCTACTAGAAACACTGCAAACGCCCTATTTATTGTAGCTATCCGATATTGCGGGAACTCGGCTGATATTGAAACAGTTCTCTGGCCCTGGGTAACCACATCATCCACATTGAGCCACTTATGATGCAGTAATTCTGCTTCAGTGTCCATAAACTTTATGCAACCCATGATACCGCGTTATGATGTCTTCACTAATGTCCCTAGATTACCAATGTTCTAATGAGCCACAGGCTTTTTCGAATACAACGACCTCATCCGTCCCATCGTCTATTGGTCGAAAGAAAAAAATGGAAAGAACGTGAAAACAAATGACTTGGGATAGCCTTGAAATTTCAGGCGATTATAACAAATAAAATGATCCTATCCAGTTTCAGACACCGCCTACGGAACCATCTGATCACTCCGTTGTTAAATGTCATACATAAATGCGCATGAGAATCTATGTCGTCTGTTACTGTCCATACGTGAAGTTTGCAAGATTTACTTTTTGTCAGTCATACAGGAACAAAAAAACACCTCAAGCTGCTGTTCAGAAACTAGTTACCCGTGACATCGAGAGACCGCAGTACGATGTTAACTTAAAAACTAAGGACTAGGAAAGCAATTTAAGAATGAGAGTTGAGGAAGCGAGCTCTTGCAAGTAAACTGCACAAACGCTCAGATGAATCGTTCGGATCGCTAAGACGATGAAGAAAAGCATTGTCACAGTAGACCACCGTTCCAGCTTGAATCAGACGTTATATTAAAATCACATAGAAATATTAGATGACCAGAGGGTAGTTGGTTGAAGAAAGCTACAAATTAAGTTTATTTTTTTGAAAACATAAATACCAACCTTTGATCCACTGGGATATTTGCGGATTCAAGAATGGAGTTAGTTTCATCACCCTCAGTAACTGACCAACGGTTATGTGACCAGCAGCAAAAAGTGAGCTGAACCCTGCGGTAGCCGCGGCAGTAGGATCAGTGACTTCTTGACTAGTGTTCATTTGCGTTGCCGTGCTGCGTAGGAATCTGGCCAATCGTCTGGGATCTCGGTCACGAAGGGCCAGGTCACAGATATCCAGGGTACTCATCACATGTGGCGGATAGCTGGGCAGGTGTCGGCTGGGGAAATCCATGCCTGAATGCATCGTCCCGATGGAAGCTGAGAGCGCTTTCTGGCGCGCGGTCTCCACAGCTGGAGCTAGTCTGCAATAAACAAGGAAAGTGCTTACTTGAGAAACAGAAGCGGATGTGAAGAATGAAAAATAGGTTTCACTTCTTGATAAACAAACCCCTGTAAGCAATTTACTTTGGTATCCACATAGAACAGCTGGATCTCCCGTTTAAGATATTCCTTTACTGAATGTGCCGTCTCATGTTTCACTTCGCAGGATGTTTGCGGTATGTTTTTCTCACAATAAAATCACTCGTAAGGTAGCTGAAAACTCTCCAACACCAAAATCTCCGAGGAATTTAGTGCTCAGCATGGAATACGGGACTTCGCCCACTTCATAAGCCCCGAAAATGACGAAACGGGTTTCGGTGGGATAAGAGTTTTAAACAGCCTCATAAGGAGCGAGCTGTGTCACCTTCAAGTTTTGTTAGCCAAGTGGGGTGTGGGAATATTAGATTCACTTACTTAATATGCAATAGTTTGGCTTCAACCGCCGAATAGTCAACGCACCCAGTTCCTAAAGGGGCGTTCGGGCTTTTTTAGTGACGAAACCGCACCCAGCGTTTTGATAGGCTTGAACTCTAAGACAGGATCACTCTTGTACTGAGTACATCTGGGAATTTTTGTTGAGGTTTTGTCCTGTTAGTAAAGCTAGTCTATACTGAAAGGGCGAGAAGTGCCGGACAGTTGTTTCATCCTTGTTGAGAATCAACTGCAATGCGGATCTCATGAAACTTCACAGTATCTAACCGGCAACCTCCGAGCTGTTGGTTTGCACACTTGACCGTCATACCACGAACGGCTCATCTGCAGTGTGATTAACTCGAATTTAAACAGCATCGCTTATCCCTCAATCACGGCGTTCACATCACATGGTAAGTTTTGTATCGCACCACGGGAGTAACTGTTGGTGACTGGAACAAGTGGGTTCAAAACACCTGCATTGTCTTGGGATCGTTTTACAAAGTATTTTTGGCTTTTTTGATGTAAAGTGGCACCGTGGAGAGAAGGTCTATACCGACTGGCCAATCAAAAGGGAGATATTTACTAAACTAGTAAACGAAAAGAATATCTTCTGAAGTCGCATATACGGCCACTGATCTGTACTTGAGTGCCAGTTTGGATCCTACTATCAGGTTTGTGTTGCAAAACAGATTGCTAGATTTTACCGAGAGCTACCGTGTTTGCTCCTTCGTATGCAAATCTGTAGCTGCTCTCGGTGGTGGGTGGAAGAGACGGGTGCAGTTGTGACAAATCTGGCCGAAACGAGGAGCACACCTTCCAAATCATATACCGACCCCTGAATCGATCAAGAATGGTGGGTGAGTCGAAAGACACAAGCAGGACAGTTACTGGATTCTTGTTCGAAGTGTCGGGCAAACCAGTCACATCGCCCAAGTTTGAACGAACCTCTCTGCTCAGACTTGAGCTGTTGGACGAGTGCTGACATTTTTTCCTTGCAAGTTAGATGCTTGGAGTTCAAATCCCTGCACAGACAAGCATATGCACTGCCGATGAGCTCTAGCCAGGGGTAAATCCAAATACAATCCTTCTGCAACTTGGCGTATATTCAGCAGAATAATCACTCTAGGACAGAAGACCGTCTAAACTACGATTAAATAGTGTCATAACTGATCATGGGAGTGATCGGAATCCGGTTACGTGACCATGAATTCTGTTTGCACGAAACTTGCGAAACCTCTAAATCTGGGTCGCCTTTCAGTCTAGTGAACTTGTCTGAAATATTTCACTGAACTCAGTAACCCGTTAGCTGTTGTGCTGTCTCTCCGCACGTGTAACCGTGCACTGTACTTCTGACTACTGTTTTGTTAGGTTTCCGGAAATCTCGTCCAAGGCTAACAGTTTCTGTCACCATTCTCGTTCGTAATATCAGACGAAGGTGTGAGGGCTAGAACACCACGTGGTATGTCACAGCTCCATCTAAGGTAACAGGCTTTAAATGACTTGAAACAGGGGCTGTGAACATTGGGAGGACACAACCGTTTCACGTAAAACCAACTCGCATGCACAATATATGATAGAGGATGGTAATTTTTGAGGATCCGGAACAGTGGCTTCGTTGGTGTGTGAAGAGGTCCAATTCCACCGTGTGATCTCAAACTGTGCCGTGTGGATAATCTGAGGCTGTGTAACAAGTTACAGAAACTGTACTTACAAGTGACTTCAGTGGGCATGAGCATAGATCATCATTCTCAACGCAATGGCCTTATCATCCAGTCCGGCGGAAAACTTTATGGATAAAGGGATAATGCACTTTAAAGTTCAGTCGAAAATAGAAGTGCCCGTTTAATTGGGCAGGTTATCTTCGATCTAGCCGCCTGTCAGACAAAAAACATGTGAAGGCTTGAACGAAAAAAAAACTCACTTTTCCAAACGTATTGATGGTCAGTATTGTAAATCAAATGCATCTTCGTTCTCTTCTATGTACCGGTAAGGCTCACTGTTTTCTGTTAGTTTACTTGATTACTGAACTGAAACCGCTGTCAGAGAGCACCCAAATAAATTACTGCGGCCAAGAATACAAATACAGTAATCGCTGTCCCACATTTTGAACGCCACTACGTGCTACTGACAAACACTGATAATGATTTCAGCAAAAACACGGCTTGCTATAAACTCGTAAACATACTGGATATTAGCGTAAAACTCAAGCTGCAAATACTTGCACCTACCTTCTTAAGACACGATTATGAAGTTGGGCTAGATCACTGTTCCAGTGCAGCGGGTCCGATTGTGGTGTCCGCTGTCCATTGGCTGGCGTCTCCTCACTTATACGCCTCTGTGATTGGCTGAACGTCATGGCATCGTGTGACCTGGATGGACCGTCTTGCCCCATTTCACTTCGAAAATGTTCTTCGATGAACAATGCGAGCCATGCTGCATGGAACGGCCAGTGTTGTATCAGACATAACCACGTGACTAGGACAGCCAGCGTTGGCAGATAGCTTGCTGAGCCTGGTAGTGCGTGAGCTGGAATGCGAATCATCCCCTGTTGTTCCACACTCAGTCTCTCGATATTGAGCATTCTTCCTAGATTATTGTAGAAAATCATGTGTGAACGGTGAAGAAGTTGATGAATCAATATCGCTTCTAAGGTTTCTCATTTCACACTTTGGAATACGTTAGAGCGCTAATCCCGCACAAGAAACCTACAAACAAACAACGAACCATTCTTCTCAAAGGTTTTTGTCATCTATGTGAACTCATCTTAGAAACAATGAAGTAGAAAAAGTCAAATTCTGGCCATATTTCATCTATATATTGTGATCGGTGCCAATTCGTGGAGTTATACTTTGAGGTCGTCGGCAAGAAATATGCTTGTGTCTGTGACTCTTTCCACAGTACCGCAAATCAGTAACTTATCCTGTGGGATACCGCAAAATGAAACCCAATGAAAGAAACGCCTATCAATCCTTGATCAAAAGTTGATACAACCACTCATGTCCCAGAGTACGGTGTTGCCTCAAACTCTGGAGGAATGACAATGACAAAAGGGTTTGGCAAGTGCTTGCACACATCTCGGGTCTTGCCAAAGGAATGCTCAATGCGACGTCAAACGGATAGTTAACATATCAAATCCTTCATTTCCCACGAAGACCGTTGTAACAATAAGGTGGCGAAATAGCGAAGTGCAATAATCCATAAATTACGTTTGTTTTAGCGAGAAAACTACCCAACTCCTAGCTAAATGTACCGTTTTAGATATTCTTTAGCTGGGATTCATTTGAATCTTCCGTTGGTATCAGTGTAGTTTGCAAATGAGTGCTTTCGCAAGATTAGTCCAATTCGGTGTTCTACCGGAACATATATTCAATGAAAACTCCTACACTAGACCTACTTGAAGGAGGGAACCCAAAATCAAACCAAAATAGATGCCTAATTTTGTCTCAAACGATTGAAAATCGAATCTAATGGAAAACACCGGATTCTTTGTTGTTGGTCGACTACGGTGCACACTGTCGTCCGCGTTTACAGACATGACGGTGTTGATTCTTGAATCGCAGCTGTTTGATTCGGGTATCGTCCAAACACCAAACACAGATTATAGAGAAAGACTGCACTCCAAAATATTACGAATGCTGGGTGTGACCCAAAGTACGATCACAGAAAAAGTTTTCTACAAAACCTCTATGAAATGTTACGCACTCTTTAGCTACGGTTTGCCGGAAAAGATAAAAAAGGGGTGTGACCGTTCGAACTACTGTCGAACACGCTGGCTGCATGTCGTTCGTAAATTTTTAACCGAGGGTTACAAAATGCTACCTGATAACACTAGATCTTGGATGGCAATGGTCGATATAGTAGGGGATGCCTGACCCAAATCTACTAAGGTAAGGTTGTTGAAGCCTCTGTGAGAGCCCAGTAATGATTACTATTCATTCAGGGATAAGCAGATGGATTGTGGCCTCCGAGTTCGGATCTGGTCGATTTCCTACCCGAACTCTAAATTTTACGTAACTGAATGTTATCCTGATTTTCAGATCAACTTGGTGTCAATGCGTTACTCAAACGAGTGTATAAATCCAACCACTTGAAAACTGGTTTTGAAGTAAGAAGTCCGGTTGACTGAAACTCAGGGACGACGCCTATCTAATTAGCCCGAAAGGGAAGAAACAGGTAGCGGGCAACCTCAACCTATAATTAGCGCTGGGTGGCGAAAAATGCGGTGATATCTTGAATATTATTTTGACTGGAACATAAGGTGGTGTTTGTGAAGCACATCCGGTGGAAGATCATTATGCATGCGGAATCTACCCGCATTTAGTTGAGCACCATCTTACCATCAAGCTGGTTTGCAAATAAGTAGGTTTGTTCGAGACACTCGATCTTCAATGACTGGATTCAAGTGTGAAGCTATTCGTAGCATGTAGATATCCGAGAGAGACTCGTAGCATTGCTCGGACTATCACTGAGTGCACTTCTAACTCCCCACAGTGCGGTTTGATAGATTTGGCTTCATGTTTCATTCGTTAGGTATCTTGCTACTAAGAGACTCATAATGGGAAACTCAGTTAGACAGCGCGACGCAAAGTAGCCCTAAAAAGTGACGATTGACGTAAGGATATGATGAACATTTAAGTGTACAAACTATCTGGTGCGACGAGGTCCAAGGAAGTCTCAAAAACTAAGCGTTTTGGTTGAAACCCCAAGCAAGCGTGCAATCCATTTTTATTCCAACGGCACTGGCCTGGATGTTTTCTAGGCGACCAGTATGAGTCAGTCTTGTGTCCATAACACTTTATAAGTCTGGATACTGTGTCAGTTAACTAACAGCATTTTCGGTCAGATGATATTCGCTCATTAATCGGATTTAGCCTTGTTCGTGTTAGTGTCTTCAACTGATATCCTACGGAAAGTTGTTTACAAACCAGCCCTTCTCTTCAAGTGCTAGTCCAGTTGCAACACGTCCGTCTACTATGGTCATGAACCATGCTTTTCAGCTTACCATACTGTCCATTAATTGCCGAATTTTTTCGCTGGCGAAATGGTATTTACGACCCCATTGTTCGTTATCTCCATCTAATCTGATAAGGCACATTCTTACGGCGTGGTAGTAGTTGCACTGACCACCCAGCATTTTGTCCTAGAAATGTTTATGACAAGCAGAATCTCATAGTATAGATAAAGAAATAGCATTAGTGGCGTTCTTAGATTAGATTTTGATGCTCCTATCCTAGAAAAAAGTCATCACGCACCCATTTACTGGACTATGTATTGAAAGTTACCAATTTTCATACGTGTATTTTGTCCACAAAGCTGCGAAAATGCACTGGCGACTAGAAAATTGGGGGTAGTACATTGATTTGTATCGTTATTTAGAGCAATTGTGGACATCGGTTTGGGGCAGTTGATCCGGGGAACGCGGAAATTGTTTCGCGTTCATTACCAAACTGTAGCAAAACACTTTTTGTCAAAATCACACAGTCGCTGTTTTTGTGACAGTCATTGTAATCAGCCAGCCGCTGCAGGGAGCGTTTGGTAAAAAAAAATATCGGGAGCATTTCAGTATCTGCTGTGATTTAGCTAGTCTGGAGCAAAATATATGGTTCGCTGACAAAGTTGAATGCATCACAAACAGAACAAATAGAAGGGACGCAGATGTATCAAACGAGTGCACATCAGAAATCGGACTAAATAGCTGGTAGAAATACTTGGGTTCGCCCGTTCTCTTCTGTTCTAAATCTCGCGTACCCTGGTGATGCGTTCTGAATGGGAGTTGAATGCTACGTGGAACGTTAAAAAGCTAGACGGTTACGCTGATTGGTTCATATCACGCAATATGCTAGAAAAACGTTGGCAAAATCAACCGAAACAGTCGGCAGAATTCCTGAAACACAAAACGAACGCATAGATTTATGTGACCTGGGAGCGCACGTGTTTTTTCCCCAGCATTTTCAACTACCATTTCACGTTAAGTTTGTGCCAGTTCCGAGGAGAAATTTTCTTGCTGAGGATCAATTGCGAGAGGACTGCATCAATTCCTCAGTCCCACTTTAAACTCTACACGAGTCCGCTCATGTACTTCAAATGTCTACCAGAGTGCCTGCCGTTCAACCACACCCAACATAATCAGAATTTGAAATTATTATGCGAAATTGTTCAACAACAGCCCCCACAATAAGGGGGGTCGTGAACGTGGGAATCTGTCGAAACCACTCGTGGCCTTCTCATTAGATTTACTATATGAATCAGAAATATCCCCCTTAAGTGGATAGGGTTAGAATGCCTCTCCTGGATCAAGTGATCATATGTTTGTTTGGAGGCATTGTTTCCACTTAGTTACGTCGGTGTTTGTTCGCTTTACCAATCATGACGCAGACCGAAATGCAGTCTGAACTTGTACATGTGTGCATCTGTGGGCCGGAACTAATATGCCAGCTTTCTTATTTGATGTCCTATTGAATTTGTGTTCGTTTAGAGGAAAAATTAAGCTCGTTAATTTAGGAGTTGGTCGACTTCCTGAATTTTCATAGCTATGCTTAATGAAACGTCAACAGTGTGATAATGTCAGCACAAAAATAGAGAACAACGAGCGTATTTCAGTGAGTAATCATCAATATTTTCAATCCAGCTAATCATCATGCACACAAAAGAAGAGAAGTGTAGGCTAGGGTACATAATCCGTCCTGCGTTTGGATGGCAAACTATTGGGATGAAGTTATCAATGCAAGACATACGATAGAAGACTCATCGAATGCTGTTGGAGAAATGAAGGCACGCACTCTTGAAAGGAAAAGTTTGATGAGATAGCTAAACGGTTGATTAAACGTTGATTAAACGTTGATCAAACGTTGATTGATTGAAAAATCAGTTCCTTTGCTCTATCATTTCATGTGATCACGAAGTAACTACTTAAGACATCAAATAGGGTAGCCTGCTTTAACCTACAGAAGGCTTGATTGTAGGATCTGCATCCTGCCGTGGAAGATGCCGTCAACTGTCACCTACTATTATCCACCGTCACGGTAATTTGGTGAAACGAAATAACGCAATTTTGCCAATCATATATCCCTTACAGAAAGACCAAGTTTAACTCTTCTAAACCAAAGTCATACAAATTTTTGGAGAGGGGTAGTTCCTTAAAAGAGATTCTCCGTCGTCCGCTAGAAGACTCATCGAATGCTGTTGGAGAAATGAAGGCACGCACTCTTGAAAGGAAAAGTTTGATGAGATAGCTAAACGGTTGATTAAACGTTGATTAAACGTTGATCAAACGTTGATTGATTGAAAAATCAGTTCCTTTGCGGTTACATGAGAAAACATCACTGAACAATCGTAATTAGGACTTGGTCTGGATATCAGCTATTCAAATTCTTTAAGCCACAAATATAACTCGTTGATTAATTGAAAAATCAGTTCCTTTGATCTATCATTTCATGTGATCACGAAGTAACTACACTGATGGTCATCAAGTATGTGTCCGTGAACTCTCGCCGGGGAATGGACACTTTGTGATATTTTCTGATGTCTAATATGGTCTAATATGGTCTAATATGACGGATTTAATGCGTACTCATATTGAGTCCATTACATACAGCAGATGAGCTGCTCTTCACTCGGGAACTGCAAGCGTTCAGCTGTGCACTTGAGTATGGACATTGAGTACGGAGGACTGAGAACAAGACTGAATACTGGGCAGGGAGTGTAATCTATCCATGAATTTTGTACATCTCGCAGCGATATCTCCAAGAGAGTCTGCACTTACGAGGTCCGGTTGGACGTAGGTAACTTCGGTGTGAAAAGTCAGCGAAATATTCTTTGAAATATCTTTAGATACCCTTTCTCCTCATCCCTCAGAGTGCATCCGTCCATAAAAATCATGACAATAAATGCAACCGCACCAGTTCCAGCCACCAAGGATTTTCTGAATTAAACTGTTTAACCTGGCGTGCCAAAGCAAACCAAATAATTGCGATGAAAAAATATGTGACATCTGATAAGTGGGGATTAGGCTCAGAAAACTTATGGCGTAGGCATACATGTGCTTTGGATAGGCTAGATACTGTGGTTATATATATATATATATATATATATATATATATATATACCCA